AAGAAGAAGAAGAAGAGAGAGAGAGAGAGAGAGAGAGAGAGAGAAATAGAGACAGAGAGAGATAGATTAATAGATGCATATAGCAGGGTGAGGGGGGGAGAAAGAGAAAGACGATCGATACGTCTAAGAATCATAAGTGTCTTTCCCTTTAACAGAACAAGAATAGAATCTATAGGAATTCTACCATACCATAGCAGTACGATGATTTCTAATGCAGAGAGAACTGGAACTGTCCGTTTTCTCCGTTTGTAAATATCACATTTTGTCAGCTCGGACAACACATGCGAAAAAAAGCTAGGAAAGAAACTGATCACTCGGAAGAAAACTTCTAGCTCATGTTCAAGTCAAATCTATAAAGGCAAACACACTCCAGGCACGTAATTGAGCCAGTTGAACGTAATATGTATGGCCTACACGACCGCACCCGCACTAGCACTCACACAAGCTATTGCTCGTCATTACGCATTGAGCCAACTACATTAGGTTCACGTTTGTCATTTGCCATGCATTCGCCGTTCACTATATTACACCCGCCGTACCGCACCGTACCGGACTGACTAGAACTGACTCAGTCAGACTAACTTGAAAGTATGATAATACAGGTCCCTGATACTGCCCAGTATGAAACCCGTATCAGATTATGCATGGAAATAGAAGATTGCGAATTAGAATTCGGCCTATCAGGACAAAGTAGGCTAAGATTGAGATTATTTGATTGGTTGAATTCTAATCTTTAATTTGCAATTTTAATCTCTAAGGCATAGTTTGATACAAGCTTAAGACTCTTCGCACAATAGAGAAAATATTAGGAATAAGAATAAATATTAAATATTAGGAAGAGTAATTTGGAATTACTTTACTTCAAACAAGGGAACGGAATAATTATTTCTAATTCTTATTTTCTACTTCATGATATATTAATCTGTTTTATTTTCTTGTTTTGAAATTAAATAATATCAATTTCTTACTTCTAATATTTAATGCTTATTCTTATTTCTAATATTTTCTTTATTGTGCGTAAGGCTTGCGGGCAAAGTGCACTTATTGCCCGCAAGCTATTATGCAACACTGACAGATGTTTATATTCATATCATATGAATTTTATCCATACAGGATTGCCATACAGTATTTTCATATAAGTCTGGCATAAGCGCGCGGGATTAAGGCTGGCGTCACATAGAACCCGTAATCCGTAATCCGCACCGGAAGTCCGCAAAAGTTACTAGGGATTGCGTCCGTAACGTTACGTGTGTTTTATCTCCTTGTGTCCCATGGAGCCGTAATTCCATGAAATTTCCGTAAAAGTTACTAAAAGTTACTAGTTATTACTAGTAATGTCTTTTTTAATTTTATTTATTTAACTAAATTTGACGATTTAATTAAAATTTTTGTTAAAATTATAATATATTCTGTAGTTTTCTTATAAATAAATACAAATAAACAATTATAATTTGTTAAATAAAAAATAGTAATACCGTTACGTGTGTATTTACGGCTCCATGGGACACAAGGAGAAAAAACACACGTAACGTTACGGACGCAATCCCTAGTAACTTTGCGGACTTTCGGTGCGGATTACGGATTACGGGTTCTATGTGACGCCGGCCTAAGGGTGCCATCACATACAGCCCGTAATCCGTAATCCGCACCGGAAGTCCGCAAAAGTTACTAGGTATTTCGTCCGTAACGTTAGACTGCTTTCACATGAGGCGTAACTTGCGTAAGCGTAATTTATGTCAGTCAATCAAATCATTCAGCTATCATATGCAAAATTTTGCGTATAGTATCTGAACGATTTGATTGGCTAACACAAGATACGCTTACGCAAGTTACGCTTCATGTGACGGCACCCTTACGTGTGTTTTTATGGCCGGCGTCACATAGAACCCGTAATCCGTAATCCGCACCGAAAGTCCGCAAAAGTTACTAGGGATTGCGTCCGTAACGTTACGTGTGTTTTATCTCCTTGTGTCCCATGGAGCCGTAATTCCATGAAATTTCCGTAAAAGTTACTACAAGTTACTAGTTATTACTAGTAATGGTTTTTCTAATTTTATTTATTTAACTAAATTTGACGATTTAATTAAAACTTTTGTTAAAATTATAATATATTCTGTAGTTTTCTTATGAATAAAATACAAATAAATAATTATAATCTGTTAAATAAAAAATAGTACTACCGTGACGTCTGTATTTACGGCTCTATGGGACACAAGAAGATAAAAACACACGTAACGTTACGGACGAAATACCTAATAACTTTTGCGGACTTCCGGTGCGGATTACGGATTACGGGCTGTATGTGACGGCACTCTGACACGCCACGGCACGGTTCGACACAGCAAAAGAGCATCGTCAAACACAGAGTCTAGTTCATGGCTGCCAATTTTTGGGATGGTATTCTAGAGAATTTTCATTTTATTCATTTGCAAAATATATTTATACTCATCGCGTTCGTAAACAATAATTAATGATGGTTATGTTTGATTTGTACGTACTTTAAATATGCCAATATGCTCTTGGTACGCCAATTTTTCAATTAAATGAACTTACTAGATATCATGGGAAGACATAAGCAGACTCTAGCAGTCTAGTTCAGAACTAAACACATTCCATCAAGTATCCAAGCACCAAGATCTATAGAGAGAAGGTTACCTCAGGAAAACCGGTTGTGGGCGAAGGACGATGAAGTAAAGGGGGAGCTAGAAACAGCTTGACGGCGAGGGGCGATGAAGGAAGGGGAGAGCATGATGATCTCATCGACAAACAGTAGCTGTCTGAGATAGCTTCTGTTTGCCGATGAGATCATTGTCTCTCTTGCCGCTCGTCCCTCTCTGCATTTGCCCCTCTTGCCGCTCGTCCCTCTTTGCGCATGAGGTAACCTTCTCTCTATAGATCTTGTCCAAGCACGGTGTTTGACCGTGTCACACAGTGTCGATCTGTGTCTCCTAGAGGTACGTTCCACTTGGCGATCGCAACGCTTGTGAAATCATTTTATCTTTGTTTTTCATCGAAAGTTAAAGAAAGATAGGCCGGTATTCATAGTCCGTTCTTATATTCAAGATCGTCTTAAGCACGAACTTATATTCGCTCTCTTCGTCAGACACAATCTATGTGTGACGAAGAGAGCGAATATAAGTCCGT